GGAGAGCAGCTAGGGGGCAATCAGGCAGGCAGGCAGGCGAGCAGTTAGGATCCAGTGGTCCCAGCTTGGGAGAGGAATTGGGCCTAAACCGGCAGTAGGACATCCCCTGAGGGGTCCTGGATTGAAGAGGGTGCAGGCCGGGCTGAATTTCATGCACCAGGCCTCTAAGGTTATCATAAGAAACATTTGAACCTTTGAAGAATTTGTGTGAGTTTATTTGAGCCAAACTGTTTGACAGTTTCTGGGAAACAGAATCTCAAGGAATTGAGATAAGGCTCCTGGGAATGACAGTTTTGCACCTTGTTTTATACCAGTGGTTTCTCAACCTTCCTAATGCCATGACCCTTTAATACAGTTCCTCATGTTGTGGTGACCCCCAACCATAAAATTATTTTCATTGCTACTTCATAACTGTATTTTTGCTACTGTTATGAATCGTAATGTAAATATCTGATATGCAGGATGTATTTTCATTGTTACAAATTGAACATAATTAAAGCATATTGATTAATCACAAAAACAATATGTAATTATATATGTGTTTTCCGATGGTCTTTGGCGACCCCTGTGAAAGGGTCATTCGACCCCCAAAGGGGTCGCGACCCACAGGTTGAGAACCACTGTTTTACACATTACAATCAAAAGAAGAAATGTAAGCGGGTTACATGAAATCCATTGGTGATAGATTAGGGAGGTGGCGAAAAAGCAAAGGAGGTGGAAACCTCTGGGACTGGATAAAAAGTAAAATGATAGACACATACTTCTTTTACATAGGTGGGTACAGGATAGTTAAGGGTCAACACTTAACACGATAACAATAACAGATAACAATAACAATGAGGGAATTTATGGTTTCTGCCCCAGTGCATTGGTTGTGCTTTGAAGAGTCCAGAAAAAGGGAAGTTACCCTGACACTCCAAAGGTATGTTATAGTAGATGCAAAAAGGACAATAGGCTCAGTTGAGGTCAAGGTTGATCTTTGTCAGGGAAGGTACCAGCCTAGAATATTACTACCTACCATAGACTGCATTTTAATTAAGAAAGTTTTAATTTCAGACCATCCTTTGTGGTTACTTTATGTCTCTGAGTTTGCAAGGCTACTCCATAGGCCCCCCTGAGCTTGTCAGGTTAGCATGTGGGTCCTTTTCGTCCACACTTATAAGCTGCTATAACCACATTATAAAGTTGTTTATAATGTGTATAAAGCATTTAAAGAGAGTGCCTGGAATGTAAATGTTCAATAAGTGGTAGCTAGTTTACAGCTATTAAATCTAAAGCATGAAGTATAATAGAGTTAATAAATTCTGTAACAGTAAAAAATCAAAGTTTGTTTTAAATTTTTTAATCAAATAAATATTACTACAGTAGTTAGTTTAAAAGTTTTCTAGGATATCAATGTATTTACTTTTTGATGTCCCCTTTGGTTGCTATCTATATAAAAATATATTTAAAAAACTTAAAAAAATCTATCTAAACAAGATAGATACATTTGTCAAGGGTTTTGGTTATATTTTATAGGTAAAATATTTAATAACCATAAAAAAATTTACTCACTTTTAATTATGTTCAGAGCATCTCAAAATAATTATTTAACCTATTAATTTTACCACAAAAAAGCACTTATCCACACTTATGCTCATTCATACCTGAATTTTTTTTTATTGAGAGATGAAACATGCTTAACAGGATGTCTATCCAAGTAGGGTACTCTTTTTCAACTTATGCTCAAAGTAGAACATAAGCTCAAAAAAGTTTTTCAATTAAACAAGTGAATTGACTAAAAATGTACATCTATACTCTGTTTACAGCCATGAGTTCAGCGTTTGCTTTAATTCAACATGTTAAAAACCATAAATATCAATGCATTTCTATTTATTTTCTAAATTCTCATTTGCTTTATTTTTCTCAGTACCATATCTGTCATGAAAAGCTTAAGATTTTAGAAACCTGAAAATTTTCCCAGTTTATCTACGATAGCAAGAAATTCGTGATGGAACTTTTAACACTATGACAAAATGCATCAAATTGCTAAAGTACTTTTTAAAACTGAATCAATTTCTCTATTATCTCTGGTAATACAATCAGCAATTCTACTGTTAATTTAAGTTATATGCCTTTCTATGAAGAACAGAAGGTATTAACTCAAAATGCACTTATCATAATTTTCTTTCATTTTAAATGTACTCACAATAAACCTTTCATAGAAATAGAATTTGGAACTTTTTTTTTGTCATGGTCATAACAGGAAAATGGGTTGTGTGTTTTACTACCAAATCTTCTCAGTTCATCCCTTAAAACTCTGAAACATTTTTAAAAATTATATTATCTTTGGATTTATAAGGAATATTAATTTTGTTGGGCAACTTATGTATATGTTTTATACTTTGCTTTCAAGGACATAATTTTTTATACTTTGCTTTTAAGGACATAATTTACAGATGACTTAATAGAAATGCTAAAGAACATGCAGGTTCTAATAATGTAGGTGATTTGGTTGTTTATAGTGTGTATGGTATTGGAATAAAGAATTTTAACAGGATGGAGAGGGGGAACATTTTAAAAACAGACAGAACAATGCAGGAGTATTAATTAGGACCTTTTCATTTTTGAGAGCCAGAAATGATCTAAAGTTTGAAGGTAGGGAGAACATTTAGTATCAAACGTTGTTCATACAATAAAATTACGGACTTCGACTATACCATTATACTTTCCAGAACCTAAATTGCCTTAATTCTCTGGCAGGCTCTTACAACATTTGAAGCAATTTTTATAAGCTTTTTTATGGAGCTAGAGTCAGGGAGTAGGAGGGTTCCCCAAAGGAATGCTGGATAGGAAAACATATTATATACAATATATCCATTACAGAGAAGACAACTTAATTTTTTTGGCTAGCATCCCTTGTGATTTTCTTGTCATTTATGGCCCTAATAAAATATGCATGTAGAAATTCATCACCCACTGAGTTCCCATTTAGAATCAGCTTCTCCAAATGGAAACTTGCATTGCACCATCCCTTCCTTCTCCCCTGCCTTCAGTGTTTTCTTCACATGCTCATTTGAGCCCCATATTTGTTAAGATTCCCCATTTTTTGAGATAACCAGGGAAACGATGTGATTAAGTCCCAATGAACTGGTAACATAAATCTTCATGATATCAAGGTGTTGGCTGTTTCTCTGATCATAGGTATCTATTTTCTTCTTTCTATCTTTATTTCTCTTTCATTTGATTTTTTTAATACAATATTTCCCCAGGTTCCTCAACCCTATATATACGAGATGCAAACATATAAGAAGTGACCAGGATCACACAAAAGAAACTTTTTAGGAAATAGTGTAACTCTTCAAGGTAACCCCAAACTCCTGACAGCCTTTGAGCAGACAGTTTCTTGTTTGTTTGCTTTTTCATTTTGGAGGTGTGGGCCCATGATTTTAAAATCAAAACACTTGCAAACGTTAACATCCTGAGAGATTTTACTTTAAACCATGGACGGTTAGCTTCTTTTGGCAAAGTGGTATGATTAGAAACCCTAGAACCAAACTGCAATGGCCAGGCTGAGCTCTACTTGTCCCTGCAATATGCATGCTCTCCAGTGTGTCACAGCAGCACTCATTTCTCCATTGGCAATACGTTTGGCAATCAATCTACTCAGGCATGATCCTCTGGTTACTGACTCAAGATCAGAAATGATCCTTGTAAAAGAGTAGCTAATCTATCCCTATCTGTTTATAGTTTCATCTATGTATGAAACCGGAGGTCAACCGAGTCCAGTGCTCGTGCTACTACCCGTCACTATCCAGCCAAAACTCAGAGACTGGGGTTAGACCAGTGGTTCTCAACCTTGGCTGCACATTAGAATCACCTGGGAATCTTTTTAAAATCCTGATTTCTGGGCCTCATCCTCCGGAAATTCTGTTTCTTTGTTATGGGGTGGGGCCACAACATTAGTAACAAAGAAACAGGATTTCCGGAGTAAGGCCCCGAAATCAGGATTTTAAAAAGATTCCCAGGTGATTCTAATGTGCAGCCAAGGTTGAGAACCACTGGGTTATGTTATAAATGTGCTTAATATCAGATGCTGGAAATTTGGGAAGGTAACAGGTGAAAACCCTAACATCCGCCTTCCCTTTAAGCTTGTTAGGAATAAGCTTTTATAGGGGAATCAGGGGAAGAGAGTCTGGGTAAGGGTACAGAGGGGTTCTGAAATTTGAGTCCCTGTGGGGGTCCTGGGTCTTGATGAATGTCTTCATTACTGGTCCTCGGAACAGGATGGCCAGTGTCCTGAAACCGGTCAAGTGGAGATTGGGTGTGCATCATCCCAGTGTTTCTGAGACCTAATCCATCAGCCTCTGCATTCCTGGTGGCCAGGGCTGGATTAAAAGTCTCTGTTCTTGTCTGGCCAACTGAGAACTGCAACAAAATCTTAGCCAGAACATAAGGTTAAACACATACCATTGATGAATCAATAACTTACACATCCTGTTAGTAAAGGGGAGGGAAATGAAAGAGAAAGGAAGAGGAGGGAAAAAAAAGCAATACTATTTTCTTCTACCCTTGTATCCCTATCATAGAACAGATGGACTATGGGTGATTGAATCATTTCTATAGGTTCAGCATTTTCCATGGGATTAGTATTCTTGCAAATAATATACTGTATTATATTGAAGTTTCATTAATTTTTTTCATTTCCTTTCTTCACTTACTTTAGCTCCTCAGAGAACAAAACATCTGCTCTCCCACCTACAGCCTTTTTTTGTATAGTCAGGAACACTTCGTCTATTTATACTTTTTGTTTTTATAGATTGTACAGAGTTGGAAACAAATCTAAATTTTTAGATACAGGCTATTTGTGTAGTATTTGTATAGCAAGATGGTCTAAAAACAGAACAAATGTAGCTTAGTTGCCTAAGTTTGTAGCTTAAAGAAAATATTACACTGTGGGACTGGGAAGTTCTCCATGCTGTTGAGTAGCATTTTACAATCAACGCCTCTCCCCTTTTCAGGATATCGAATCCCTAACAGGAGGTCTGACTGGTTCTAAGGGGGCTGATCCACCGGTAAGTTAGCTTCTTCATTAAATTTAACTATTAACGAATTGAATTATGTACACACCACATCATCAGACGGTTACTTGCATACAGTGGTCATAGAGGTAACTTTTTGAAATATATAGTTATTGCAGAAACTAATACAAAAGTGTGAACTTGCCTTGTGGTGTCATTTGGTGTTTTAAAAAGTTTTAATAACTCATAAAATTCTTCTCCATCTATTGACTATAAAAATAAGAATAAAGGCTTCATTAGAATATGTAAATGCTTTTATGTCCTGCTAATGGATTATACCAAAAGTTAAAATCTTTTGGAACTTGAGAGTTTACTTTTCCAAATATGAGTGTATGATTTGGGTTGTAATATACTTTGTAATTATTTTTTCAGCCTATTTGATCAACACTATTGATTCGTGATATTGCTGTTTCTTTTCTACTTTACCTAGGAAGCCTCTAGAAATTTAGAAGAAATTTTCAAAAGTTTTAAAGAAATCATTTTGTTGTTTTTTGTTGTTGTTGTTTTTTCCATTGAGAAAGAGAGTGGCAGGGAGGGAGGAATGGAGAGAGGGAGGGAGGGAGAGAGCAAGGTGAAAGGATGTGAGAGGAATGGGAATTGAACCTTTGATCCTTTGGTGTGCAGGCTGACCTTGGAACCACTGAGCGAAATGAGCCAGGGCGAGAGAATTATCATTTTTGCTCAATAGTCTAGTTTTGGAACATTTTGGTTCTTTCTGTGATGTCTGGTTTCAGAAAACATTAATTAATATAACATTCCTGTGATTTCATGTTTGAAGGATAAACATGAACTCATGCTGTATGTCTGAAGTACTAAGATTCAATTTATTTCAGCAGTCAATGCAGTAATGGTATCACCATTTGCTTTTTTACTCAGCATTGTAAGATTTAATGTGGAACAAACAGAAACCAAAGTTATCAGTTTTTAGCTGGACTGCATGTAGGCATCCAGGTGAAGAACGTTATTACATTGAAACACCAGTGAGCTGTTAAAAAGATCACTTGTAGTTGTAGCTTCTCTTCTGTCTCCCTCTCATGTGTCTCATATTATCTAATCTTCATCAAATTGCAGGAATTTTTAAAAATGTATTGTCTTCAGATAGTAGCTTATATTTAGTTCCTGAACCAATTAGATTTCAGTATAAGACAAGGTGAAATGTAAGTCAGCCCAGGAAGTATATTGTGACAGGATTTATGGCCATCCTTATGTGTAAGTAGTATAGGCCACGCTTATGTGATATAATTTCACCCTGCTGTCTTGCATAGTGTTTATACATAATCTAATGAACAAAATAAACTGATGAACAAAATCGATCCACGGACATAGAAGCATGGAATAGACTGTGGATTTCAGAAGGAAGGTGGGGGTGGATGGGTGGGTGGGAAGAGATGAACCAAAGAACTTGTATGCATATATGCATAACCCATGGACACAGACAAAAGGGTGGTGAAAGCCTGGGGTGGGACAATGGGGTGGGCTAGGAGGGGCGAAGGGGGGAGAGAAAGGGGACATATGTAATACTTTCAACAATAAAGATTTTAAAAAGTGAGATCGCTGGGTCAAATGGGAGTTCATTTTTAATTTTTTGAGGAAACTCCATATTGTTTTCCACAGTGGCTGTACCAGTCTGCATTCCCATTAGCAGTGTACTAGGGTTTCATTTTCTCCACATTCTCACCAGCACTTGTTATTTGTTGATGATAGCCATTTTGACAGATGTGAGGTGATACCTCATTGTCCTTTTAATTTGCATCTCTCTGATGATTACTGACTGAGCATTTTTTTCATGTCTCTTGGTCTTCTTTATGTCCACTTTGGAGGAGTGTCTATTTATGTCCTTTGCCCATTTTTAAATTGGATTGTTTGTCTTCCTTTTGTTAAGTTGTATGAATTCCTTATATATTTTGGATATTAACCCTTTATCAGATGTATCATTGCCAAATATGTTCTACCATGCACTGGGCTCTCATTTCACAAATGAAGGGGACATCTGTAATACTTTCAACAATAGAGATAAATAAATTTAAAAAGTTAAAAAAAAAAGAAAAGAAAAATAAATCCATTTCCTTCAATGTATCTTTCTCACCTGTTCATTGATTCTGGAAGAAGTATACAATTAAGATCAATCAGTTTTAAAACGATTTGTCTCTTGCTCAAAACAAAACTAAACACCTATCTTCTGCAAATAGTGATAGAACTCTTATCCATTATTTACATGTTAAAATAATTTTCTTTATCATGTCCTGTCAAGAAAGCATCTTTCTGCCTGGCCGGTGTGGTTCAGTGGTTGAGCGTCGAACTAGGAACCAGGAGTCACGGTTTGATTCCTGGTCAGGGTACATGCTCGTGTTGAGGGCTTGATCCCAAGTCGAGGGCACGTAGGAGTCAGCCAGTCAATGATTCTCTCTCATCATTGATGTTTCTCTTTCTCCCTCTCTCTTCCTCTCTGAAATCAATAAAAACATATTAACAAAAAAACCCCCAAAAACCAAAAAACATCTTTCCAAGCATAAATGATTGAGTGAGCATAAAGCCTAATTATTGGAAGCCCCTTGCAGGGGAAAAGGTCACAGACAGGCAAGATGGTGTTCTGAACTCAAACTTAACCAACTTCATTCCCATTCACTAAATGTGAAGTGCATATGTGTATGTATATTTACACATATGTATGTTTTTTTCTTTAGACATAATTTATAATATTGTGAAGATAGAGGTTCTCTCTTTGCTATGTCCTGCTATGATAATGGGTATTATATACTGCTACCTACAATGACTAAAATTCAATTACTGTGCTTACTTTATAACGTTTATAGAGTGGAGAACATAATGCATATTTCAGAGTACATAAGAGTTTAGGCAATCTGGGGGTGTGGTAGTAAAAGTACACATAACTTTAGTGTCTCCCATGGTGAAAGAACAAGCTGGGGTGTATTACTAGGAGCTATGTAATGACATAATTTGTAGTCCTCCCTAAAGCTTATGTAAAGTAGTCTTAAGTAAGAAGTTGAAATGATGATAGTATTCTAGGAGTTACTTCAATCATTTAAAAATAAGGCTTTTAATGAAGCTATTATTTTTGCCCCCAAGTTACAAAACTGAAGTCAGGTTAAATTATACATAACCTAAATCTATTTGAAGTTTTATATTTTTTTCTTTAAAACTGCCTTTCCAATAGTCATTTAAATCTCTTATCCATTTCTAAAATTGTGTCTTTTGTATAAATATTTACAGTGAATTTCTAAATCCTTTCTATGATGAAATTTTCATTGGTAAAAAAATGAAGGTTTTCTGATTTTTCATTCCTTGAACAGAATAAATAAAGTGCTGAAAGAATGCATAGCTGTGGACTTATTTCTTTACCAGTATAATGAAATCCCAGATACATATTTAAATGTTATATTTAAAAATTGCAAATTTTTCTGTGGATAGACATAAATATTACTTTTGAAGCACAAGAAAAAAGTGAATTTTTCACTTTTTAAAATACCAAGCATGTATAAAAGTTGTGTCAAATTTTGCAAATGTTATAAATAAATTTGTGTAATAATAAGAATAAATTTGAGGAACTCCAGAAATATAGTTTGCATTAATTAAGGCTATGTAGGTATTTTAAAACTTGAATTAGACTCAGTTTTAATGCTAATAATGAAAGAACCAGTCATTCGTGATTTTCAGGGGGGCAAGTCAAGTTTTCTAATGGTTTTCTTTTGAAAAGGATTTTTAAAAGCATGTTTTTAAATTCAGACCTTGGAAATTAGTTGCTGCAGCAAAAAGAACTTGCAGATTTTTCTAAATAACATAGTAATTATAGAAAAAAATTCTATCAGTAAGAAAAATATTAACTGTTAAATGTTAACTTAAAATTTTATTTGAAATATTATATTAGATATTCTACATTTGACATGTTTTTCATTTACAAAAATTGGATTACAGATTAACCTTCAGCATAAAAGCAGCATACATTTATATATAAAAATTAAGGGAAAGAGAATAGATAAATAAATCTAAAGGGTAAAATATCATTAAATAGAACTTTTAAAGAAATTCCCATAGTGTTTTAAATTTTAAATATTAACAATATTAAAATGTGAAAAACTTGTGAACTATAAGTTATCAGGGGTGTTTCACACGATTGTCATCCAGCCTTTAGAAAGCCAGGGTAAGGTCTAAGCCACTTAACTTCATATGGCCAAGAGGATTCTGGATACTGAAGCACTGAGTACAAGGTCTGAACATCATTCAACTGTACCCGCTGTACCTGGCATCTGGACAGCTGTGGCTATGCAGTTCCATGCGGAACCAGTAGTGTGACAGATTGTTTTCCTGTCTGGGGCTAGTGAGCCAGTGACATAGAGGTGTTAGCCAGCCCCTGGACAGGAGCCAGGACTTTTCCCAGACTGTGGGCAAGATTTAAGGTGGGATTTAGTAGCTCAGCTTGTTCACCAATACAGTATTACATTTATTTATGTAGACCCAAACAGACTAACATACACAATGAGAGGATTTTCTCTTTTATTTAATTTTATTAAATGTATTGGGTGACATTGGTAAATAAGATTATATGTTTCAACTGCAGTTCTGTAATACATCATTTATATATTGCAGTGTGTGTTCACGACCTAAATTCAATTCTCTTTTCATCACAATATATTTGACCCCCTTTACCCTTTTCTGCCTCCCCCTCCACCCCATACTCTGGTAACCATCATACTGTTGTCTATGTCTATGAGTTGTTTGTTTGTTTGTTGTTTTATGTTTTATATTCTACATGAGTAAAATCATAAGGTTCTTGTCTTTTTCTGTCTGTCTTATTTCACTTAACATGATATTCTCAAGATCCATTCACGTTGTCCCAAATGGCAGTGTTTCATCTTTTCTTATAGCTAAGCAGAATTCCATAGTATATATGTACCACATCTTTATCTAATCATCCACCAAAGGATATTCAATGTCTTGGCCACCATGAATAATGCTTCAGTGAACATAGGGGGTAC